CAAAGTGTTGCGCAGTATCAGACGAAAATGAAGGCGCACTGCCCTACGTAAGTGCAGACTGGTATCGTTTATCCCTGTGTGAGCCATAATTTTCCTGGGATTTGCGGCTTCTGTTCAATCGATTTTCTTGAAACTTGGTAGCAGGGGGTATTTTGACGTAAAGATTAAATTTTCAGTCGAATTTTCAAAACTCAACTATTCGAGAGGACGAAAAAGTAGCCTCAAATGCTATGTTGGCGCCCTCGAAATTATCCAACCTAGCAGTCGAGAAACCTATTCTTTTTCTGCTCGGTTTAAGAATCTATGTTCGCTCTGTATTTTCCTTTTTAGCGCAGCTCTTCCTGATGTTTATTTTTTTGTCGAAACTTTGAGTCGAGGAATGGGAATCTCCTCGCATGAGTTCAAGTCTTCGTTTACATTTACCAGTTTAAATAATAATTCCTAAGGATGATTGACGATTTTATGCTGTTTTTATCGATTATACGAGTCCTTTATTTTAAGTGATTTTTAGATTTTTAATACTTACATAAAGTTTCTTGTGCTCGTTACTTGATGGCCTGACAAACAGGGCTATGCCCTGGTCGTTAGAACAAGAATAGGAAGAAATAATTAAATCTGTATGACACTTCGGAGTGTCAAAGTGTAATGTCTGAGACCAAAAATGCCTAAAAGCTATTTTAGGCGCGAACACGGGTACGACTTAAAGTTATAATGGAGATAGTTCCTTTTGATTTAAATATGTACAGTTGTACTGCGTTGCGTAATAAGGGAGGAAAAGTAGATTTGTTGGAAACGAAGACTTAGGAGCGAATACACTTGTTTCGATTCATTAATAAAACAGCGTCGGTGGTGAGTGGATGGCGAAGATGCTCGTAAGTTCCTCGGTTTATCACTGTGCTCCGCCGTCGGCGTTCCACCCCATCTCCAGGAAATATTCAAAGCAACCATCGCCGGCTTTGAGCGCAGAGCATTGTTGACGAAATTCCGCACAAGGGGTCTCTTGCACACAACGTCGCTTCGCTGACGTAAGGGGGTAGAGTACCTATATTGAGAGAGTATGGCCACTGGGCCCCATGGAGAGGCTTAGGACCTAAAAATGGCGCTGCTTTGTTTTGGTTTTTGTGGACGGGAGGGGGGTCATTGCCAACTTTTGACGGTTATCACCAACCGCACTTGCTGCCAACCTTACTACATCTAGGATAATTTTTCTCAAAAATTGCACACGATTAGCCTTAAAAATATGTAAAGATGTCGCAATAGTGCATTTGAGTAAATTTCTCGTTACGATAAGCAAAGAAAACTACATTTTGAGTCATTTTGCATTACATTAATTTATGGCGTCCGCCATTTTTGGGTCCTAAGGGCTCCATTTAGCCTAAGATGGCTGAGCCAGAGCCAATCAGAGGTGGTAACCCCAGTGGCCATTCTCTCTCAATATAGGTACTCTAGTAAGGGGGTATCTCAATTTCCAAATGAGCCCTCTTCTCCGTAGAACTCTAAGCTTTCCGGGCTCATGTGGGAATACTACCGTGCAAAGTAAAAACGCCGTATGAACATTCGAGAATTGCCAAATTGCCTTCGATATAGTGTTTATTCTTTAGGAAAGCTATGTATATTTTCCTTTGTAATTTTCAGGAAATTTAGGTGAAATTGCGAAGAAAATTATCTGGAAAATCGGAAGAAAATGATTTACAAATTTTCCCGAAAATCCGTGGTTTACTAAAAGAAATTTGACAGCCCCTGGAGGCTCATACTGCGTTTTTACGGCGTGAGCACATCAAAATTGTTTGAAAACCACTTTTGACTCACAATGGACCGCTAGACAAGGTGCAAATTTAAGCATTATGATGCAAGTCTTTTCATCCAAATTTTACTTGGAACATACTGGAAGTGACTCTTAACCAAGATATTAACATTTTTCGCAGCGTAAATTCGAACCGCCCGCTGATAAGCCTGTGCCACACTATCAAAATACTCCATCAAAATGTCAAGGTCAAGTGCTGTGATTGGTCCAAGTCATCGAATAAGCCAATCACAACACCTGACCTTGATATTTTGATAGCTAGTTTTGATAGTGTGACACAGGCCATTGAAATAATAGTAATCTACTTGCGTCAAATCTCACACTGAACGTTACTGTGGATAGCATATATGATGTGAAAATATGACAACATCAATTTCGGCGCTTTGGCTCAGCTCCTGCCGACGTTAATACTTTAAACAACACAGGGCGAGGAGAGGGCACATTTCGAAAGCCTGCTAAAACCACCACCTATGCAGTTGAACCAGCATGCGTTTGAAGCGCCTGCAACATCGTATGAATACTCCAAGCATTGCACCTTCGAACACATATGCATGCGCGAATGGACCAGTAGACAAGGTACTAATTCAAACATATGAAGACATGCTTCTCAACCAAACTTTCTTGCAGAGCACGATTCGCGCAACTAAAATTACTGAAAGTACCTCCTGACCAAGATATTGACATTCTTCGATGCATAAATTTAAACTTGCAGCTCTGACAAAAAACATCAATCTACTTGAGTTAAATCGCATGTTAAACGTCCTCGTGACCGTCTCTGCATCATAAAAATGTGGCAACCTCGATTTCGGTGACTCTGCTATTCTACCGTCCTAAGGATGAATGCCGTATAAATATTAGAGAGTTGCCAAATTTTCTCCGATAAATTTTTTTTTAAATGGGAGCTATGAATATTTTGTCTTGAAATTTTTAGAGAATTTAGAATTCATCGCCAGCAAAAGTCTCTGAAAATTAGAGAGACCTTATTCACAGGTTTCCCGGGAAGTTCGTATTTTATCAAAGGGAATTTGGAAACTTATTTGATTAACTTAAAACTTTTTTGAGAACCGATTATATAGCACTTACTTTCTTATTGTTCTCTACGCTCGAAATGGCCATAGTGCGTAGAGGACAATAAGAAAGTAAAAGCTATGTAATCAATTATCAAAAAATTTTTAAGTTAATCAAATAATTTGTGTAGTGCCGATAAAATTTTAAAAAAATGTGCAATTTGCGACAACATAGTGAATTTGGCAACGCCTACAGGCTCATACGACGCTTCTGCTTAGCACGACAGTATTGAATGTTGTTCACACTTTGAACAACACAGGGATCGAAAAGGACCCTGCTTGCTTGAAAAACCTGCGGGTTGATTGTTGAAACTGATAGACAAAACAATAGACAAAGAAGACATTAGTAGTATGTAGCGATCTTTTGGTTGAAACAGGTAGTCCTTATAGACTTAGGGAGAATATGATGGACTAACTGAAGCGTCTCTCGTGGGTTACCGTTAGTTAGTCCGTACCTCCTTTGTCCGTCGCAACCACCCGTTTAAACCAATTGGATCCCTTCATATCCTTTTTGTCATCTTTGTCTATAGTATTGCCTATCGATTTCAACAATCGGCCCACTTGAAGTCCGTTGCTGTGCACGATTTGATTAAAGTAGGCTCTTGTTATTCTTGCGAGCGGGACAGTCAAATAACTCGTAACCAATGCTGAATAAAAACAATCCCGACATTTTAGCGACCAGTTTGACAACGGCGTGTGTCGAGGGCAAAGATGGGGCGGACAGGAACCGCCCAAGAAATAAATAAACGCAAGTTTCGTCGAGTCCAATCGGGCTCTCATTCTGCTGTTGAAACAGAACTCGAATCGCCGGGAAAATAAAGAAAAAGGAATTATTAAGCCGAGAGCGCGAGGCAGCCGCGGCGGGCGGGAAAAATTGCACGCTTCGTTGAATGGTGGACGTTGAGCTCTCACGGTTCGCACGTGAGCAATGTACTGAAAAAACAGCGTAATGCCTATGGTAACCCTGCGGAAATTCGCTGTTTTTGCACTGTAAGAATACTGCCGTGATGGGCAGGGACAGCTCAACTTCAACGGGAACAGTATGGAAATTCGTCGTTTTTGCGGAAAATGACAGAATAGGGTTATCTCACCTGCTACGAAGCCGGTGATTTAACGCTTGAAATCGGATTAAGGGGTCATCACTCAATTTATATATGCAACGAATCAACAGCTTGTCTCTCCTTTTTTCTTAGTATCCCGATTAGATCATTTCCTGACGCCAATGAGAGGTAGTCGCAACGAGAGAAAATTTTACTATCCAAATAACATTTTCTCTGGTTCCAAGTAGTAATTTGCATTGCAAAGAGTAATCCATACTCTTTGCAATTAGGAACTATAATCTCCGGATCATCTCTAAAAACACTCAAGTGCGTAGGAAAAGTAATGGTACATACGTTGTTTCTAAACTGAGACGGAAATTGTAGTTTCTGATCACAAAATGAAGTCCACTTGGAGACCCCGCTCTGTTGGCTTTCCCTATGTATAAAAGTTATTTTCAGAAGTCAACCCGACCAACAGTGGCGTGGCGTGAATTGCGATATATCGATCATTATGTCATTTAAATCCATGGTAAAAAATCGATTATTAAGGTGTTCACTACGAACACCCTGTTTATCGATCCTTTTCCATAGGTTTAAATGGCATAACAATCGATATATCGCAAAGCACGCCACGCCACTGCCAACCAAAGAGATGAGCAATTGGTTCAGCAATTTCTACCCAATATCTAAAAATTCGCCTATAGCAAAGTGCTCACCCCGACATTCATCAGCCATCATTTAACGATGACACTTCTATGATTTTATGCTCAACAGTTTGCTGAGAAATTATCATAGTATTGACCGTCATTGGAAGCTTGCGTTCCCTGAATACAATGTTTGGATCGTTGGTGTGAAGTTTCCAATACATTTTGTCAAATTAGGAAAGAATTTAATTGAGGGACCAACAGCGCCAAACCATTGGGAACCCAGCGAAGAGCGTAAAGCTGGGTAAAAATATTAAGGTACTGACCAATAGTATAATTCTCGTTACAATGCTTTTAAAAAAAAATGTCTACAAATACCTTCACCAACTTATCAGCATTATCTTAGACAATATTCAAAACCCTATTATGTAAATATTTGAAAATATTACTTCCAACCCTAAAAAAATTTATTGAACCATTGCTACTAATACTTAAAACAATTTGTCACCAATTAAAACAAAATTGTTAAAAATACCGTCGAATTTTTAATGAATCCACTTTTTGTTTTACTGTTGGTTACCGTTTTCTTGGATTTCGTGATGAGCGTTTGTATCTTCGGATCTAGTTTTTTCTTCATCCACAATATCGCCGATACTACCACGATTGTCATGATTACCATCACGATCACTATATTTCCTTCATCACGCTCTTCATAACTGCCACCATCCTGAGCTTCAAGCTCTACTAAAACATTTTGCCCGCTTTCTATGTTCAACTCTACTTCCTGGAGTCTTCTGCTCTCGTCCAAATTTTCCAAGCTAGTTTTTTCGTCTTCTATCCGAGGTTCTTTTCCTTCATCACTCTCTCCATAACTGCCATCATCCTGAGCTTCAAGTTCTACTAAACTAGTTTTTCCGCTTTCTGTGTTCAACTCTACTTCCTGGAGTCTTCTGCTCTCGTCCAAAATTTCCAAGCTAGTTTTTTCGTCCTCTACCCAAGGTTCTTTCTTGGCGTCTTTCGCCCTCTTTTTATCTTCATACTCGGCCCAATCGTCTTCATACGCCTGGATCTCGTCGTGAGACATTGGCTCTTCCACTTGGACATTCGTGAACCATAGTGCGCCATCGTGCGATTTCTGGTACCTCGGTACACTCTCTTCATAACTGCCAACATCCTGAGCTTCAAGTTCTATTAAACCAGTTGGTTCCCCTCCTGTGTTCAACTCTACTTCCTGGAGTCTTCTACTCTCGTCTAAAATTTCCAAGCTACCTTTTTCGTTCTCTACGCGAGGTTCTCTCTTGGCGCCTCTCACCTTTTTTTTATCTTCATACTCGGCCCAATCGTCTTCATACGCCTCGATCTCGTCGTGAGACATTGGCTCTCCCACTTGGACATTTGTGAACCATAGTGCGCCGTCGTGGGATTTCTGGTACGTCGGTTCGTCCTGTATTTCTCTGAGATTCGAGCAAATCAGCTTTCCTCCCTCGAATATCTTATTGTCTCTGAACTGGATAGTCTGATTTGGATCCGGACTTTTTCCTTGAACGATGAGCTTTTCCAGTTTTATGTCAACGTATCCGGTCGTAATGAAATTGAGTCCGTAAGACGATCCAAAACCACTCATCGAGTGTTTGCCGGGACCGGAAAATTTAACACCGCTCGGGGTTATTTCAACATTCCTTTTTTGAAGAGCTGGAACATTGTTTGTCGTGGTACTTGAAGGAATATCATTCAAAATGTCTATGGGCTTTGGTATCTTCGTGTCAATTTTTACAAGACTCGCAGCAGAGACACCATTCGAAATTCGCTGTTAAAAGGAATTGACTTGGATTAGTTTTATTAGTGAAACTAAGTTGAAAAGGATTTGGATTTGAATATTTTATTATATGTAGAACAAAATTATAGCTTGATTGCGGCTATACTATAAATTACATGACTTGTATAAAACCCCTAAGGAATCTCGCAGCACAGCTGAACTCCTGGTAGTCTCATCAACATTGTTTCTATCTCGAGACTTTAGCAAAGTATAATACATTTTAACTCTCAATTCATACGAAACCGTCCAATAGATGAGTTCTTGTGCGGTATCGCACAGAACTTAAGCTAAATTCTAAACTAAATTCTGTTATTTTAATTTGTTCATTATTTTTACGAGGGCTGTATACACCCGCTCTATTCTTTTATCACACTCGGTCGCGCAACCAATTTCCCAATATTCTCGTCATAAAAGTCACAAGGATCAGCTCATGGAACATGGAACAATGAAAGGTTGAATTTCTCACTTTTATGGATGTATTTTACTTCTTCATTTATGGCGGGATTATGTCCGCGGGATTTTTTTCAGTTGGGATTTTGTCGGTAAATCCTATATAGAACTTTAAAGGAATAAATTGGTGGGTTCTCTTGTCATAAACTCTATCATTGAAAAGACATTGGTTTTTATAGAAAAACACCACAAGTATCACCTCTGTAAATCCTATAAAATCAAATGTTAATATGAATTTTGTTTTGCTAAAGTCTTGATGATTGCAATAGCGGAAGAACTTAGACTTACTTGGTCACTACGCCAATTTCATTTGAGTTCCGACTTAATTGCTTTTCATAGAACTGGCTATCGTAAAACCGCAAATTTACAAAATGCTACTCACTAAATGTTGCACTTTGAAAATTTAAGAAATTTTACCCCTTAGTGACCGCGACAATTTTTCTCAGAGAGAAAACTACTCACAAAAAATATAAACTTACCAAACACATATATCCAAAAAGTAGGAAAAGAGGAAAACTCATCACACGCGTCAGCATATTTGCGTCGGTAGTCGAACTCCATGTGCTGTGCCTGCGCAAAATCTTGCACTTTCAAGCTCCAGTCTGTGTCTGCGCCAACGCCAAAAAAAGCTTTTAACCTTCTGTACGTCAGAGGTTCTACTATTATTTCACCCATCAAAAAAGCATTGCGCCACACGCAATTTCACCGGATTTCCGTTTTACAGTCGTCAAATTTCTCTCTTCCAGGAATGAGAGCATTAAATGGACGTATTTCTACCAAACAGACCTATGTGGAGGTGAGAAATATGGGGTGTGCTCGTTGAAGCTGCATAAGAAGCAATGTAAAAGTGGGCGTGATTCCTTTTGAAGAATTGGAAAAGCGGGATTTTACATTCTATCAAACAGACCTATGTGCCAACTGAATGCGAGATTCATGAGCCGCGGGCATGGCAAGAGAGCGTTGTGGACAGGGCTCATGAGTTAAAGACTCCCTCTAACGATCTTCCCCTCGCTCGAGTGCGCACTATCATTGCCGCTGACGTCACTGGCGCTTTATTATTCCCATTCACTCTTACGCAAAGAAAACTAACGAGCACACCCCACATTTCTCACCTCCACATAGGTCTGTTTGGTAGAAATACGTCCAAATTTGAGAAAAACATGAGAATTAATCGAAAGTTTCGAATTGTAATGCAACATTTTTTCTGCGTTTTGGTCGAAAGGAGTCTGCCAGTATCACCGACGGTTCAATCTCAAGTCTGAAACTAACCGCAGGAAGCAACTAGTTAAAATTATCTAACGATGTATTCTCACACTCCCGAACAAAGTTTGTCCCTTTCAGGGAAGTTTGAAGACGTTCGAAAATCCGTATCTTAAAAAATACGAAGATTTGAAACACACATTCTGCCGTGTGTTTATGGCGTTAAAATTACAAAAATTCTCTTTCGATGCTGGCATTTTTCAAATCCCAAATTTTGAACTTTAAAAGTTTTAACAAATTTTATTTGAGTTTTGGAGCCAATTTGAAAGCCCGAACGTCCTAAAGGGGCCGCCTTGATACAGTTCGGATATGATTCAGTTAAAATTCGTCCGGTGGGTCAATTGCGCTGGGCACAGAATCGTGATTCGATGCTTGATTCTTTTAGATTAGCTAAAAATAATAATATCTGTCCTAACAGCACTTTTCTACGTTCAATATTGACCGAGACACCGCCCTTTGACAAGCCGGGTTTTTCACGCCATCCTCCGCGGTAGTGACATCTTTGGTTTCTTCCACCTTGCTTTCATTAATCGGTGTGACGCACTTTGCACTGATTACTTAACGTGAAACTCGGATGAAAGAAAGGTAAAAGAAACCCAGGATGTCACTATCGCGGCGGATGACGTCAAAAACTCGACTTTACAAAGGGCGATATCTCAGTTAATACTGAACATAGAAACTTGCTGTTTGGGCAGATCTTATTATTTTTAGCTGATCTACAAGAATCAAGCATCAAAACACGATTCTGCACCACCGCAACTGACCCATTGAACTATATTTTTCAATAGGGGACTAAAATTCCTGACTTACTTAAGAATCAACGTAGGTGCTCATAGTTTCCTTATGCAGGTAGGTGCAAAATTATATTGCAAAATGCAGTCCCATTAGCCGCCGGTGTAGTGACCCTTTCGACTCTTATCATTCATCTGGATTTCGGCGAAAAGGACAAGGCTGATGGTGGCATGGTGGGCGATGCCCGGAAAAGTTGTCAAGCTAGTGACTCAAACTGCGGAGGGGAGGGGTCGAGGGTCACACGTGATTATTAAATTAGAGACACGAATATCGTGCAGATATTTTTACAAGCCCAGGACTCGGCAGGAGTCCTGATTACAGGGTGGCACAAGTGCGCCCTCCCCCGCCGCCCGGCCGTCCTGCAACCCGCCGAACACCCGCCGCACCTTTGTGGCCTCAGAGCCCCCCCCCCTTCCTCGGGCTCTTCCCTGTCCTCCCGAATATCGCCCCGCAACCGTGGCACCCTTGCCGAAGTGCACTAAATATTGCAATTAGAAACTAATGTCACTGACTTATTTTGGAAAGATTGTATAATGCGAACATGGTTTTTTAGGCATAGATAGGCTACAGAGTGTAGCATTGCCGCACAGTGGATCGAGTCAATCAGAGAGGTCGGACATGGAATTTTTGACTGAAACTGCAAATTTTGATGCTTAATTCGTCACATTTAAACTGAGAGGGATGCCTCCATAAGAAAAATTCACGAGGAAATTGATGGAAGCACTTTTAAAATCTCAAAGTTTTGTATAAACGGAGTTACAAGCGTTTAAAGTTTCTAAATTTTGTCCGGCCTCTCTCATTGACTCGGTCCACTGTGTGCCGTGCTAAGGAAGAGCGCCGTGTGAGCTTCCAGACGTTGCCTTTCCACTGAAAATCATGAATTTTCGGGAAAATTTGTACAAATGTGAATTCCAATTTTTCAGAGAATTTTATTTGTAATTTGATCTGAAATGTCAGAAATTTCAGGAAGAACATCCCTAACTTTCCTCAAGAATAAATGAGGAGCTTTAAGGACAAGGCGCATAAGTGCAGATTTTGCTACTTCGAAGAACGTGTGTTTAAAGTTTCAAAATTACATGGATCCTTATGGTGGATAATAAGTTCAAACTGACTTTTTCATGCTTAAAATTTGGAATTTGAGAGCGAATTTTTCACGGAAGATGCATTAAGCTCAGTTTTACTGCAAACCATTAGAATATAAATTTTTTCAAAAACTGCACTTATTCGCATTGTCCTCAAAGCTCCTCAAATATTTTCTGAGATGAAATTTGACGACATTCGAATCCTCCTACGGCGTTTTTCCTCGGCGCACGGTAGATTGAGTCGATTATAGGGTTCGGATATGAAATGTGTTACTAAAACTGCAAATTTTGATGTTTATTTCGTTATATTTTAAATTTCGATGGGCGCTTATGAAAGGAAATTTCACGAGAAAACCAATAGAACCACTTTCAGAACCTCGAAGTGTTGTATAAACGGAGTTATAAGCGCACACTTCTAGTAAAATTTTGCCGTGTTTGTTTAGTGTTGCAAAACTTTATTGTAATCTTAGACCTCGACTATCATAATAAAAAAAAATAGATAGTTTTATTTAACCCAAAAATACTGGGTTTATAAAATAAGTCCTTGAAATTTCAAGGTATTAAAAGTATAAAAAAGGATAGACCTTTCAGTTTTTTGTACAGTTTTCCAAAATTCCATTGAATTTTTTACATTTGACTCCAATACCTATCAAACAAACTGTTTCGTTCAAACATTTCTGAGAGCGAGGGGTATAGGATAAAGAAACGAACTCACAAATTTTTCTACATGCTTTAATAGTGTATTAGCTGAAAACTGAATGTTTCCTCGGACAGAAATGTCAGCAAGGAACATTCATCGAAACAAAACCAAAATTCCTCAATCGTCCCAGTCACTGTCTTCGTCATCAGATTCACTCTCGGAGCCTCTCGTGGATTTCTCGTACAATTTTACTGCCCTTTTGAGTTCCTTTTGAGCCCTTTTCCTCGCCCTCCGCTCTGCTTTTGCCGCTGCTTTCTCGCTCTTTCCCCACTTATTCTCTCTCCTGCGATCCTTCTTCTGCCTTAGCTCCTCCTCAGCCTTGAACTCCTCGATCTCCTTCGGCGACATCGGTGACCCCAATGAGAGATTCGTGTACCACATGGCTCCATCCGGGGTTTTCTGGTACGTTGGTTGAGTGGGTAATGATCTACTATCCGTGCACACGGTTTTACCATTGATTTTAACAACACCTAATTTTGCCCGGATACTTTGTTCTTTATTGGGACTTTTTACGATTAGCCGAAGACCTTTGTGATTTTCAATACGGAGATAGTGGCCTTGAGTCCGGTACGTGCCGTAAAGGTACGAATAGTTGTCCCCAATAATGTTCCCAGTGCGTAAGTCTTCATCGTCAAGTTCCATGTCGGGTGTTACACGCCTTACTACAAGCCGCGGTTGGGTATCGTCAACTTTTTCCGTCGGTTCGTCGCCGGGTTGTTCCTCTGCATCCACTTTCAAAAGTGTTTCGTTGAGACCAGTGTCGTTGAATCTTGCTTGCGTGTTGAGCTCTGAATTACTTCCCTGCTCAACTGAGACAGCTTCTGCCAACTCCGCATACTTGTTGATCTGAAAAAATCATACACCTTAGATTATTTGAGTCGTTAAGAGTGTGTGCGATCAAATAGACATTCATTTTTTCGTTGAAGGGCAACAATACTTTCGGAAAATCCCTCACGATGGAGAGAGAGAATAATTTAAAGTGTTATTTCTCATTGTGGATGCACAGTTGAATAGTGTTCAACAGATTTGATTGGACCAGGTAACATTGATTACCAGGAAGTACGACCTCTGACCGTTCTGAGGTCGAAACTGCAGAATCTGCAGGGTTGGTTTCGCAGGTCCCCTTGAATTAATCTAAAAAACGGGCTCATCTTTCTCCTTCTGAAAGTCGCACAAATTATGAAAATCGATCTTAAGAACAAACTATGACGAGTAATGAACATTTACCGCGTTCAAATAGGAGTAGTCACAATTTTATCGCGTGGTACAAAAAACCTGGATCAAATAAAATGTTTAAAATCTGAATAAAGCGGGCTCATGCAGAGACTCTCAATTGTGGTTAGCCACAAAAATAATGGAAAACGACTTAATGGAACTGTGACAAAAAAGGAAAATGTTCGGGCTCAGAGAGTTTATAGTAAAGGTGATGAGGTCCAAATAACATAATTAGTCCTTTAAGTCCGGAAATTCCTTACATGTTTCGTGGCGCAAACAAGCTTAGTGATCATAAAATAATGGCAGAATAATTTAATGTGCACGGTAAAAAATTTTACAGCAGTATCCGCACCTTGAGAATTTTGGCCGCTGGAGCTGACATTCGCGGTTCCGGCTGCTGAAATCCGGCGTATCCCGCCGAGGATTCGGCAGTTCTGCCGAATTTGAAAAAGTTCGTATTAAAATTGTTTAAAGCAACACATTAAAGATACGATCTCGTGTTTAAGAATTGCAAAACTTACCAGAAGTATGAGCGCAAAAAGGAGACACGGGGAGCGGTGCTTGAGCAACGCCATGATTCCACCAAAGTAACCAACAACTGGTATTTTCAACGCCGCAACCTTCCGTTTTATACATCTTGCTCTGCATTTCTCGTAATCCAGAGTATACAATATGCATTCTCTGGATTCCGTGAAAATGCAGAGGGGGGATTGAGTCATCGCCATCAGACGACAGAAACCAATTGTTTAGGTATTTTTTGCTATTACCATTAGTGATTTCTCCTTGAATCTGCGCGAGAATATTTTAGTGACGCATACATTTTCCGCTCATTTTTTATGAAAAAGCGGAAAACGGGAGAAAAAAACAGGTGGAACTGAAGCGGATAAAGGTGTTCCAATCTATTGAAATTTTCGAAAGATGGACTGAAACTGAAATATATGATTTTACTCTAACGCCTATCACAAAAATTTTATAGTTTGCTTCCTTTCACATTAACTTTGTCCTCTGAAATAAAGCTACAAATGGAGTGTTGGAATCAACCGAGCATGAAATATGTACTTAATTCTGCTGAAGAAAAACATATCGTCAAAAAGGCATGAATCGTTTTTCCTTCCAGAGATTCTGCGTCATAATATCATCTGAGGCTTTTAAAATGTCACAGCAACTTTGTCCTCTGGAATAAAGTTGGAATCAACCAAGCAGAAATCATAGACTTAATGCTGCTGGCAAAAAATATGGTGAAAAAGACATGAATAATTTTTCCTTCCTGGTATTCTGCGTAATAATTTCATCTGAGGCTTTTATAAAATTCCCAGGTCCAATGACATTGGTTCCAAGCCGCAATTTGCTTTAGCTTAGAAGAATTTATCATGTCATAAGGAATTTTGTTTTTCGTTTCTCTGACAGATGGAACAAAAGACCTGCTAACTTTTTGATCGCAAATGCGTCAATTAGTAGGTGTTCTGTGAATTCCAGAGTATACCGACACGGAGAGATATTGTATCGCCGCGTCAATTCAATCATTTCAATAGGGACAGAAAAATGGGCCACCGTTGATTCACTGCGGAATTTTCCCCAGTCACGAAATCTCTTCACCCCCAGTTTTTAGTCAATGTGAACCAAAAAATGGGAATAGAGTTCTCAGTAAACTACGATGGAAACTTTTCCCGAGGATTGAGGTGCTTTCCGAATAAAGGACACGTATCATAAAATTGCGCTCTGAGAAAAATGCATTTGAATTTTTCACTACAGCTCTCCGGCCTTTAACGGTGACTTAGATCGGAACTGGGATACTTAGATCAAAGTTTACAATTCTAGAACGGAATAATACCATTTTTAAAACTTGCACTTCTTATAGTACTTTGGAAGGAATTTTTTTTAAAATTTTTCGTCATAGGTCCTTCTTCCGTAAATGCGGACCGTTGGTTACAGGTTTTGGCTTTCAAAGCTGGACCTTTGAGACATAAACGACTTTTTACACGAAAATAAAGGTTTTATCAATAAATTTTATTTTTGTTTTACCTCTGAGTAACATCGAGAGAAGCTAGAGTACATTAATTCAGTAGGATACTTTCTTCATTCTCATATGTCTCGGAGTAACCTATGGTTTCGGTCGATTTAACCAAAGTTTCGGTCAACCAACCTAGTTATTTCGGTTCATCTAACCGAAAAAAAGTGCCTCAGAGTAATCAAAAACACTGGCATTTTTAACTGTGTATGCTCTCATTTGAGAAAAGTATGGTTTGAGCCACAGTGCTATTAGTCATCATCAACAGACTCTATGGTAATGAAGATCGTGAATGAAATCGCATTCACCAAAAGTGTGGTAAGTGCTACCAAATGTCTGCTTATCTTCTCCCGAAAGTGTCATGGTGTTAAAAATCAATAAGACTATTATCAACAGAATTCACCATCTACGGTGAAACTACCAGATCAAGTATTTTGGTTTGCGACGTTTTAGACTTCCTGTCATGGTTTATGTTTTAAATGGAAAACCACTCAACGTCAATTTTTGAAAACTTATAAGGTTTGCCCTCTCAATGCGAAGAAAACCGTGTGAATACTATGAGGTATGATATTAATTCATTTTCGTTCAAAAAAATAAAATGGAAGCGAAGATTTTTGAACACCACAAACGAAATTCAGTCGCTCTCGCTATGTTTCTGGTATCATTTGGCCCGCGTTGAACAGAAAGGAACCAAGCCACATATGCTGTTGCCAATTTAAATGGGCAATTTAATTTTTTTCATGGAGACGGATGTGTGGATTTTTGTGCGCATTTCTCAGGATTTCTCGCATGGTACGGGGCTAATTCCTTAACATTTTCAAAGGAATCTGCACCAACGTTCTCCTGTAAAAAATGAAATTGTCTGGTTGAATTTGACAAAAGCTGATTTTGCTTGGTTTCTTTCTGCTAGACGCGGTCCATTTACCATAATTTTCTTTATCAAGGTTGTTGTTGTTGTTTAACCCCCCCCCCCTTTTTTTTTCTTTTCAAGTTATGCGAGGTTTTAAATCAATTTGAGGATCCACAACCTTGAATGTCGAGTATTGGGCTAGGGTTAGTAAACAATTATCCATTTATGCTCCAGGCATTCAAATTTTCAAGGATTAAGGCCGAGTGGAGTCTGTTTCGCTAGATCCACTCGTCAGTTCCTTGAAACTATTTCGCTACCACCGAGGTTCGAGCCCGGTTCCTATTGGTCTAGAGCCAGACGCGCTGACTGGTAGGCCAACCTGGCCTGGCTTTCATCAAGATAGATTTTCCACGAGATTCAAGTTCCTGAGAGAATCATCATCATTCATTTCATCTAGAGTACCTGTATAGGGAGAGTATGGACAGATCGGTTCATGGAGGGCTTAGGGCCCAAAAGTGCAGCCACCCTTCTGAGCAACTTCTAACACACAAAATTTCACTGCCAGCCTACAGATTTCAATTCTAACCAAGATGGCTAAGAATGTACATAAATGAGCGTTCTTTCGCAAAAATAAGTAAATTTATGCAAAAAGTAAGCCAAATACATGCTTTTTAAACGACAGTTCGTAACAATTGTATTTGGAAATCGCTCCGGACATTCGAAATTCATAGGTTGGCTGCCCTTTTGGGCCCTACCTTTATTCGCGGAGGCATCGGTGAAGGCCTGATGGACTTTCGGAGTTTCAGATCTGTCCATACTCTCCCTATACAGGTACTCTAATTTCATCGAGATCGGTGATTCTTCAAAGACTCTACATTTTATCAACGTTGATTTTTCCGGGTGCGGAATCTTCGGCCGGAGAAGCGGCAGCCCCGTTTCGGGGGCGGTCGCGGGGGGCGCAGTAAAAGTCGACGTTGCGGAAATCCCCCGGGCCGGGAGGAGTCGTGGGCTCGTAAGATGGCGAATTTGTGGAAACGTAAACCGCTATCGGAGGAATTCGGGCCGGAGGATCAATAAGCCGGATCCACGATAGCCGAGGAGACCTCCGTCCTCGCAGTTGTAGCCGAAGCTTGTCGCTCAGCAAAGTTGCATGTTCAGCGGCTCCCGAGACCCGGGCAGCTCTAATGCGCCGACATGCAAACTTGTATGTGGCTAAAATAAAATGCCCCCCGCCCCCTCGCGCTGCCGACCCGGACAGGCGACTGCCCTGCTAAATGGAAATCGCCTAACTCATAGTTGTCACCCTGCGGAAATATGCCGTTATTCTGCCAAGAGAGCAGCGGTTTCAAAATTGACCACTGCACGGAGAAAAAAACTTCGTGGGTGGGACCCGAAGTTTAGGTCATATGGATCTCTGAAGTTTTCGGACTGAGAATCTGAACACTTAAGGTCTAGCTGCCGAAGTTCAGGTCAGACATCTGAAACTTCAGTTCTTACATCTGAAGTACTTCGGGTTTCACATCCGAAAACTTCGGTTCTCACATCTGAAGTACTTCAGACGTAAGAGCTGAAGTACTTCAGATGTGAGAACTGAAGTACTTCAGATGTAAGAACTGAAGTTTCAGATGTCTGACCTGAACTTCGGTAGCTAGACCCTAAGTGTTCAGATGCTCAATCCGAAAAATTTAGAGATCCATATGACCTAAACTTCGGGTCCCGCGCACGAAGTTTTTTTTCCGTGCAGACAAAGTACTAAGTTAGGGTTTCTGATACGTGTTTCTTAACCAAAATGTCACATAGAACACGATTCGCGTAACGAAATTTACTGGAGTCAACTCCTAGCCGAGATATTTAATGTTTTTTGATGCGTGAATTCAAGTCTCCCGCTCATGAATGCACAATGGTTTACGTGAGTCAAATCGCCCATTAAACGGTACCATAGCAGTCTCTGCGATACGAGAATATGGCAAGCTCAATCTTGACGCTTTGTCTCAGCTATACAGCAAATTGTTTACACTTTGAACAATGAAGGGTGGGAAAAGAACAATGTTTGATTGAGAAGCCTGCCAAAACCGTTGTACTGCGCGATTTGATCCGCGTAGAGTATCGTGTTTTTGTAACCGGGCAATTCAAATCTCCCGTGACCACTGTCAAATAAAAACGTTAATATTAGACAAGTTAGAAGTTGATTTCAGTAATTTTCAATGCAAGAATATTTACATTATGTTCTCCGCGGAATTTTGGATACGAGGCATGTATCAGAATGCTTAAATTCGTATCTTGCCTAAGGTTCCATTGATGGTTTTGGAGGACAAGGTGCCCAAGTGCAGTTTTTGGTTTCTCAAGAAATTCATGTTTGAAGTTGCAAAATTACATGGGGCCTCATGGTGGAAAGAAAGTTCAAACTCACTTTTCTTTTGCCTGATAATGTGATTTTAGTGATGGATTTTTTACAGAATATATTTGAAGACCAGCTCTACAGTTGAAATCATTAATATCTCATTTTTTTAAACAACTGCACTTATGCGCCCTGCCCCCCAAGCCTCTCAAATGAAGTTTTGAAAAATGGAACTTACTCGTTTAAAATTTTTTCGGCAATATCCATACACCGTAAAACTGCACCCATAGCTGAGTGCAGTCTGTGGCACAGGCTCCCCATAACAGCCCCTTTGTGAAGAAAAAAGGGTTTAGTGGTGAACCTACCCTAGTTTGAGGCTTAGTGGTGCACCTCCCGCGATGACAATTTTAATTTTTTAACCCCTCTTTCACGGAATTCGAGGCATTTGTTTGCGTCCCTGATCATTCTGATTTGCGGTCCTGGCTGCCGAAATGGGCCAGTTGTACTGAACATAGAATTGTGTTTTGATGAATTTAGATTATGGATCAGCGAAGAATAATGAGATTCGTCCGAACACCAAGTTTTCTTGTTCAATATCAAAGGACATACATGCATGAAGTTCGCCTCATCCGTGGTTTATGTTGAGCAATCAGTACCAATATCGTCGCTTCTCTGGCGTAATCCTGTATCTGCATTTCCACATGAACCTCGGACAGCGTGGATTTATATGTTGCATAGGGTCCACGTGGAAATTGAGGTATACGCAATTACGTCAGAGGATAGACGACACGTGGATCGTTAATTCTTGAATCCAAGGTGGAAGAAACTGTAGTCATAGTATGCATCACTATAGTGGATGACGTCATACATCGTGTCTTTCGAGTGGTGAAATCTTTGCTAAATCGGTACTAAAAATCAAAGCGTATGGACGGATCCTAATAGGTATAATTTACAAATCTGTCATCAGCTTAAACATTGAAAAGGCAATTGTGTATAGTTAGTGCCACTGACTCATCCGGCAAAAATATTACAGAATACTCGGTAAACCATATGCCGAGATCACACAAATCTATTTCACCGAACATGTTTAAAAATGTCTCGTAGTTGACGAACGCAAGATCCAAAGAATCAGCCCAGTGTCCACATTTTCACAGAAAGGGTGAGAATCGGTCGTTAATACCAATTGAAAACCATATCAAGGATATGAACAAACATTTATTTTTTACAACACTCAAAATTTGTATCATTCATGAATATTTAACCAAATGCTGCCACCATTCTTGCTTTAGAATCGCATACATCGCAGACTTGGAAGCTACTCGAGTTTTTACAAGCCGTGCGAGAAGAAGCAGGGACCAAGGAAAAATATTAAAACACTAAGCACCTCATAATATTTTTTCTCCACTTGATGAAAAGAAGAATATTATCATAATTGAAAACAGTCACTCTCTCTCTCTCTTTCTCTTTATTTTTTAAAGTTGAATCACGCATAGGTCGGGAATCGGATACATTAATACTGAATTGTGTGGGAATGAATTAAAAGAAACTACGTACAAATTAATAAAATCCCACGGAACTGTTCGCAAACAATACTTTTAACCGTGGTTCGACTTGGTGTGATTTCTCAGTATCAGTAGCGAGGTGTGAATGATCGATTATCGATATTTACCCATTTGAATCTGTGGTAAAAAATCGATTATTAAGGTGTTCGTCGCAAATACACGGTTTTCGATCCTTTTTTATAGATTTAAATGGTAGATCCATCGATTAATCGCAAAGCACGCCACGCCACTGATCTGTATCGCAGCAGTGATCCGATGGCTAGGGATTTATTCACAGATCTAGGGATTTTCCGGAATTTCTAGGGATCTAGGGATTTTTTTTTGATGAGATAAAAGTAAGAATACGACGATTTAACCTCAATTTTAGCTAAAATATTTCTTCATTTATATTTTGTAAGGCTTATTGGCAACACTATTTTCCCCGCAAATAAGCCGGAACAGAAACGATTGCGTCACTCGATATACTTGACATTCAACAGTAAAAAAAAAAACAATAATGAAAACTCAACTAATATTCTTTCATTTTATTGGTCTGTTTTAGCACTGCTTTCAGAGAGCGGCAAAATTCAAACAAGCCAATCAGATTCCAATATTGCAAATCGTTGTATCGAATGACGTCATGATTTTACGTCAAAAATGGCGTTTTTTGCAAAATCTAGGGATTTTTTTCTCTCCCGGTAGGCCTTGTCTCCACGGGCCTTTTCATGAGATTTGTCCCGGGGAAAAATCTCACTTACGAAGTTGGGAAAACTATTGAGTTAATCAACATTTTGCCCAGTACCAAGTATGGTCCTTTTACTCCTAGGACCCACTGAGAGAGGAAGAAGAAGTATAAACGAATTGTGCGATATTTTGTTGAATACTCCATTGCTCATGTTTTTTAGTTAAAATAATGTGTCTAATTGTCAATTGAGTGCAATTATTAATTTAATTCCGGTTAAATACTCGATTTTGTCTCATTTATCTTCCCGCGCAAACCAGTCGCAGGACCGTATGAGCCTCGTCCCGTGGAGACGGTAACCGGGAAAAATCCCAGAAGTTTCATTCCTGCGATTCGAACTTGGGACAAATCCCATTAAAACGTCCCGTGGAGACAAGGCCTTAGGAATTTTACATCGGATCACTGTATCGCAGATTATGGGAGAGGGGAGTTATGGTTATTCTGGAGAAATTCAGAACTGTTATCGTGAGTAGCATCCGTGTCTTCGGCATTACCATCATCACCCATCAGAGATTCCTCCATCTCATCGCGCCACTCCCGGAGTTCGGCCCAAATCTCCTCGGAACCGGCAGCCTCCTCGGCCTCTCTCTTGTGAGCCTCCCGTCTATGCACAGCGAACTCGACCTCGAACCGGTCCACCTCTTCGGAGGTCATCGGAACTCCGATATCGATATTGGCGAACCAAGACGACCCCTCGACCGAACGCTGGAAGACCGCGTGTTCCTTCAAGTGGGTGATATCGGTGCAGACGAGGACGTCATCGACAAAGAGTTGACTATCCTCGATGTGGATGTTCTTGTCGTCGCTGTGGGTCGTCCCCAGGAGGATGAGGCCGCCAGGTTCCTCCATGTCGATGTCGATGTACCTTCCGGCTTCCAGTTTGAATTCGATGTCTTCGGCGAGGTCGTCCTGGTCAACTTCTGAGGAAGCGTCTTCGTGATTTAGATACGTGGTGACCGGTGCGGCTACCACGATATCCGCGAGGCTGTTCAACTGAAGAAGCGTCGTAATATGAGTGAATGGAACGGCAAGGATTGGAAAGTAAGGGAGGGAGGAATTGACGGGCGTGGGAAACAAGGCAAAGTGCAGTTTTTGCTATTTTAACAGTGAAAAAAATGGTATGCTGTTTTAGCACCTAGGATGTTAAAAATGAAAAAAAAGATGAGACATTCATAAATTCAAATAGAACTGATTTGAAAACATAATCTGTGAAAAAAATCATGACTAAAATACAACTTTCAAGCATAAAAAAGTGAGTTTAAACTTCCTTTCCGCCGTGAGGCTCCATGTAGTTTTGAAACTTTCAACGTAGATTTCTTCACTGAAAAAAATAATATTCTGTTTTAGCACCTAGGATGTCAAAAATGTGTGTGGTGATCCTAAGATACTACCTTGATTTTCCACGTAGTTGAATTTGCATTCATAGGATTTAAAGTTAACTGCCAGGTCAGTAAAGGCAGCATCTTGGGATCACCACACACATTTTTGACATCCTAGGAGCTAAAACAGCATATTATTTTTTTCAGTGAAGAAATCTGCGTTGAAAGTTTCAAAATTACATGGAGCCTCATGGCGGAAAGGAAGTTTAAACTCACTTTTTGATGCTTGAAAGTTGGAGTTCATTATTTTTCACAGATTATATTCTCAAACTAGTTCTATTTGAGTTCATGAATATCTCAATTTTTTTAGGAAACTGCACTTATATGCCTTGTCCTCCAAGTTCCTTAATTATAATTTAATTGAAAAAAAAATTGAATACTATTTCGGAAAAAGATGAGCAAGGAATAGTTTGGAGCTCATCTGGTCGTACAATTTAATCGGAAGAAAGATCAAGTCAAGTAAACATTCTTCAAAAGTGAAAATGCAGGGTGTCTACCGTTAGTAAAAATCGGAGAATATACGAAAACGCAATGCCGTCAAGTAACTCGGTCATGACTCTGGATATTCCAAGTGCGTCAAGCATATTTAATTACATACAGTTTAGCATGTACAGAAGTAAAATATTTGATTTGATTCACCAAGGATGTTGGTCTGTAAATTCAAACGAGAGTCGATTTATTTGCGCCGAAAATCAGTAGATTTTCTTTAAAATTTTAGAAAAATTCGCGGAAATCCGCAATAAAATGTTAGTAAACACGCTAGAATGATCGCTGAATTTTATTTCCACTTTTGAATCGTACGAGGAAACTTAACTTTCAACTTCTAATTTATTACTTAACTTATTCAGGATTGTCACTATTAGGCTATAAACAACCAGGTCGGAACCAAACAGACTCTGACTCTTAACTTCAACCTATTAATTTACTTAAATATTTTTTTCAAGTTGATTAAATGCTGAGCCCGACCTATTGATGTGCAACGATGACGCCGCGATGCGACGACGTATGAATGCAATGAATCACACATTTTTTATCCCAAGTGGGAAAAAATTGAAGGCGCTCTGGCTTTTTCAGCGGTGAGGTCTGAATGCAACTATTCGTGTTCTCGGGATGTCTGTGTTGCATACACAAAAATTGCAGGCGCTCTGATTTTTTTAGGCACAACGTATGGCTGCGGTTGTTAGCTCAAAGAGTTTCTACGTCGCATTTTCAATCGTGTTCAAACTTTTTGAAAAAGAAACAAAGAAGAACATATCTTATCAAATGATTTCATATCTTAGGAGGTAAACGTAACAACCTATTATTCTGGAATGAATTAAAAATCTCAAGATTTCACTTACCGCGAAGAAGAATATTAAGAGGAGAATCATACTGCTTGCAGTTGAGTTACTTGCTATGTCTCTGACTGACTGAAATTCTCATGTTTCACTGGTGCGGTCTCGTGTTTGAAGGGACGCACTGAGTCCAACACTAACCAAAAGTATGTCCTACCGTAGATTCGATGATGATGAAAAAGATGACAAAAAAATGAGGAAGATGAAGGGAAAGAGGGAATTTTAAAAATAGACTCTTGCGTTAGTTCATGTCTAGGGGTTGAGCGACCTTTTTGAGATGACGATCGTGATGGACGTGATCAACGTAGACATGTGCGTCCTTGGAACCTCTGGAAAATTCAGATCAATCAACTTTGAATTTTTTACCGGATTTTTTCCCGGTATGATTGGTTAGGATGTGCGCAAATACGAGATTTCAGGTCGTCATCTCGTTATGAAACTTGCGAACGCGATCGAGTATTCCATCCTGGCACATAGAAAAAAGACTTTTCGATTTTAATCCTTTTTTCGTTTCGTTTTTTCTCTCTTCAGTGAAATCGGTATGCACGGCACTGAATTTTATTCGATAAGCAAAAAATTAAAAGGTTAAACCTTAATTATTTTTTTTGGTTTTTGGTTTTTTTGTGGAAGAGATTCGACCGCTCAAAAATTTTGCGAAGGGAAAATATTTGTATGTAGAAAACATTTACTGTTTGCTCGAAAGAAATAATTCCTCCGATAAGCTACAAATGCTTCTGAAATCAAGTAAATCATTTTAAATTTACAGACCTTCCCCGCGAGGTTGAAGCAGAAAATCATTTCATTCGAGGAAACACAATATCATCGTATCCACCAATAATAGATGCCTCGTTCCGATTGAGCCAAACACTCCTGGTTACAGTTACTAGAAATTATGTTTTGGTCAACGAAATCCGTCAAAAAAGAATGTTGGCTTAATTTTATATAAGTGTGTGACATATTTCCAGACTCGTCCATGTCCTTAATAAATTAAACAGCTTTATCACTGAAAATCTTTCATCGTTTTTGATAGCCATATGTGTACTTTTGATTATATTCTTTGTTTAATCACTTTTTAAAAATCTCCCCGTAAAAGAAAAATCATCCATAAAAGAAAAACAAATCGTATTTCTTGTTGGTTCAAGCTGAAAATAGAGTAACTATAAAGACTGAAGATATTTACTTCTCTCTTTCATCCCTAAGTTTTTGATTAACTACTTCGACACTATCTTTTTCGTTAGTTCATTTTGTAAAATCATTGTTTTGCCAGTCATTAGCATCGTGATTTCCAACCAACATCACTTTCTGGTCTTGATTTTTTACGAATTTTAAAAGAAAGCTTAATAATTAGGAACATTTCATAAAACATCCCTTGTAGTTAAATCATTATTTAATATTATTTTAATTAAATTTTAAATTTAATTTTCCCATCAATTTGTTTTAAAATTTTTTTTTTGTGATTTTCTGTTACAGGTATGTGTCAAATTTTCTGTGATTTCGTCTTATTTTATCAAAGGTCAGAGGTAAGATGCTCAGCAGTCAATTTTTTATTAAAATTATATCAAATTATAAACGTCTCTAAAAAGAAGGTTTCAGGTTCATTCATTGTTTCTTACGTATAATTAACATAAGAAGAATGTAAAGTTGTCTTTTCTACGAACGAACTTTTCGTTGATTATTCATCACAGCATTCTTAAAAACTTATTCCGATGTTTTGGGTTTTCGCACTCACCTACTTTTCATATTTCTGTGGTTCAAAGTTCTGACAGGCCTCCACAGAGTCCACGCGCAATATGCCACTATTATTTTCAACGAATTGTAGTATCGGAGCAAACTGTAAGGATACCAAGCTTAACAGAAAAGAACCCAGCCCGATCATGATCAAATATAGAAAAAGAGATCCGAAATTTTACCTCTTTTTTGAGACAATTTGTTATAGAGATAACAAAGCCCATATTAAAACACTCAAATTATTTCCTCTCATTTTTTTCATTTTGACAAAGTAAAAATGCGGTCCGTCAAGCTTCTTTCTATTGATTTACTCTTTTCTAAAATGTAACGAGGCTCCTTTCTGTCAGCGTCAGTCCAAATTAAACAAACCATCTTTAGCTTTCTATAATACTTGTATTGACAAACTTTGAATATTTCATGTATTCTTATAACACTATCTATCAATATTCTTGAGTATTACATCGTGAAGTGGAAAGTTATAGTCGATTACCATTATTCCATTAAGCATTATTCCACCGCACTTTCAGCTTGCCTCCATCGTCGGAGGTCTATCCAGTCTCAAATTTTCGGAAACAGCTTTCTCTGTCAGATCCCTACGATTTTCGTGCTTTTTTCCCTTTGGACTTGCCTTTCCACTCGGCCTGCGCTTGAAGGAGAGCCACGTTCATAGCATCTTTCTTGACCCGATACGACCGTATCACCTCCTCTCTCTCTCTTTTCAGCTTTTCCCTTCCAGCTTGAATCCTCGCCTTTTCTTCCTTCTCTGCTGCAACCTCCTTCTCCTTCTTCCGCTTCTTCTGCACCTGCTCTTGATACTTGTCAATCCTTTTCGCCAATTTTTTCACATTCTCTTTTCGAAGCTTTTCAGCCTTTTCTTCCTCCATCTTCTTCGCTCTCACCTTCTCAGCCTCTACCTCCTCTTGGCATTTCTTTTGCACCGGCTCTTGCTTTATGCTCAACTTTACTGCCTTCCCCTCATCTTCGGCCCGAAGCTTTTCCTTCTCAGCTTTAGTCCTCGCCTCCTCCTCCTCCCTTTTCTTCGCTCTCTCTTTTTCGGCTGCAGCCTCGACTTCTTCTTTTTGCTTCCTCTGCGCCTGTTCTTGCCACCTGGTCAACCCCATCGCCTTCCTCTCCTCCTCCTCCTTCAAGAACTGCGCGATCTCCGAGTCCGACATTTTCCTTCCGATCTGGAGATTGGTGTACCATTTCCCTCCATCCTCAGCCATCTGGTACGTGGCCTTCTCAGGCAGTGTATCGAGGTTCTCGCAAACGACCCTATCGTTGACCGCGACTCGGGGGTCTTCGAATTCAACCACTATGACTTGTTGAGGGTTGTAAGCCTGAACTTGGACACCGCCGTAGTCGGCGATCAGGATGCCGTTGCCACTCACTTTGAGTTTGCCAAGCGTCGCTGGATTCCCTTGGTCATCTACCTCAGACGCAACTCCGTCTTTTGAATCTCTGGTTGTGTCAATACTGACTCTGTTGTCTTCATTTTTCAGTGACGGCTGATTATCCAGTTGCAAACTTTTCGGCTTCTCTAGTGCCTTGTCTCCATTTTTTGTTGCTGGTTCTCCTTCGTTCTCACTCGGTGCCCCCTGCGATTCCTCACCTTCTTTCCGTGGTTGTAATTTCTTTTCTAGTTTCTCGCTTGCTGTACCGATCAAATTTCGCAATCCCGTCTTCCACTTTTCTCCGACGCCTCCCCATGACCATGGCCACACGCTGCCCTCCCCTTGTGAGTTCTTTTTTTCACCCTCCGGTGCCTCTTGTTTTTCTAGTTGCACGCTGCTTTCCTTTTTTTGCAGAATCTCATTTGGTGCCCCTTCCTTTTCTTCTCCTTCCTTCCGCACTATTTCCGTGTCCTTCTTTTGAATTTCACCTTGATGCTCCTCATCTTTATCCTCGGGTAATGTCTGTCTTTCTTGTTGCCCATCCTGTGGTGTTTTTTTATGATCTCCAGCTTGTCCCAACCTCCATGGCCACACCACGATCCTATTCTTCGTAGGTTCCTCTTTTTCACCTCCCGGTGTTGGCTTATTCTCCGGTGTCCCGCGTTGTTTCTTCCATCGGAGGATTCCATCGACTAGTCGTCCCTCTGCTTTCCTCTTTTTCTCTCTCCATTCCTCACCTCTCTCAAATATCTCTTTAATGCGCCCCTTTCGCCTCTTTTCTGCATCCTCCGCTGTGACTTTTCCGCCCTGCTTATCCTTGTACTGATCCCATTCGGTTTCAAAGCTCTCCATCTCTTTTGGAGTCATGGCGTGACCCATGTCGAGGTTCGTAAACCAGGAGGACCCGTCCATTGATCGCTGGTAGGAGGGTGACGGATCCACCTATACAATAGTAAAAAGTTACTGAAATATTTTGTGAACATCGGAAGTATAACAGAAAGTAACCTAGAAATGCGGTTAATATTGTTTGATTCGAGACTGTGGGGACATTCATCAGATCTTTGGGTTACATGATTATGAAGGTTGACGTTATTAGGCGGCACCGTTCCATCGCATAAAACGTTATTCGGCGGTATACGGTACCGTTGAATACGTAACTTTGTGAAATAAATGTCTGGGCTGAAAGTTTGCAACCTTGTTAAAAATCAGGAGCGAGCCGCCAGGATTGAGCCTGGATTTCACCCAGCGATCATTCAATCGGACGTATTTCTGCCGAACGGAACTATGCATGCGTATTAAAACGTGAGCCCTGTTATGCATATGTTTTTATGGGGCTCAGGGCTCAAGTCTTAATGCACCTAGTTCCATTTGGCAGAAATATGTTCAATTACGCCGGCAACTTTTAAGTCGCAATCTCTGTGCGGCATTGCGAGAAGCAAGAGGACATAAGTTCAGCAAGACACATTCTGCATCCTCTGGAGTCTCAGAGCAACTTACGGTTCCTGTCGATTTAATTAAGTAGGTCGATCAACCAAGTCCTTTTGATCCAAATGACCGAAAAAAATAACTCCGTAAAAAAAGTAATGTCGTGGAGAGTTGTCCGGAGGTTTTTTCGTCACAAAAGGGCCAAAACAAGGCTGTTCTTTGTCACCAACACTGTTTAAGGTATACCTAGAGCACGTGTTAAAGGAATGGAAAAATAAGGTTGCGGGAATGGGCGTTCCACTCCTTGATGGGCAGACCCTTTATACTCTATGCTTTGCCGATGACCAGATCCTTGTAGCTCAAGATGAGGAAAATGCAGAGTACATGACGCGGAAGTTGGTCGAAGAATATCGGAAATGGGGGATGGACGTTAGTGTGTCCAAGACAGAGAAGCTAGTCGTGGGAGCAGCGCATCAACGGCAAAGCATAGAGCTTGAGGATGGACGGCGCATCGAAGAGTGTGACGAGTATAAGTATCTCGGTGTTTGGCTCGATCAGGATGGAAGGATGGATAGAGCAATTAAGGACAGGATCATCCAGGGCAGGAGAGCCATCGCGATGCTGAACGGGGTGCTCTGGGATCAGAGCATCTCAAAGGCAAACAAGCACCGGATATATGACGCCATCGTTAAAAGTATCGTGCTCTATGGTAGTGAAGTGTGGCCTTTGACGAAAAGAACGCAAGAAATGTTGAGGGCAACTGAAATGGATTTTTGGCGGCGATCTGCCGGCATTTCGAGACGGGACCGTGTCCGTAATGAGAGAATTCGCCAGGTGATGAAGGTTGAGAAAGATATCGTGCACGACGTCATGTCCAGGCAGTTATGCTGGTTTGGACATGTGCAAAGAATGTCGGAGGAGAGGTTGCCCAAACAAGTTTTGGATTGGGTACCACCTGGGAAGAGGCGACGGGGACGTCCCGTAAAGGGTTGGCGGCAGGGCGTTGACGAAGAGATGTTGCGGTGTCAGTTGCCCGAGAACCTCTGGGAAGACAGGCATATGTGGCGTTTGGGTGTCGTAGAACGCCAGAGTGCTTTATAAAGCGACTTAATATATATATAAAAAAATTAATCCAAAGGAACCATGGCCACGAAAAGTTTAACTGTGCAGACCGCGCATTTCGATTTTTAATTTTGCAAACCTCCTGCTGTCTTATTTTACGTTTTTAAGCAAGGTTTGATTATCGTTTTTCTACAAAAGCTCGTTCTGTTTATCTATGACCTGTACCAACCATTAATCGCAAATGAGAGTCTCTGAAGAATTGGAACATAAATTTCCACAAGCCTCCCTGAAAACCTGTCGTACATAAAATAAACTAGGGGAGCGAGAAAGTAAAAAATTGGCAACGTACGTATATATGACGGCTCAAACTGCGTTCCTACTTAGCACGGCAGAGTTAATATCTTAAGCCGTTGACAAGATTCGAGCGCCTTCAATTTTTCACTATGCAACCCGCATATCCAAAGAGTACGAATAGTTGTATCACGGCGCCGTAAAAGATGCGAGTGCGACATTGACTAAGGCGCTGTGACACAACTATTCGCACTCTTTGGATATGCGTGTTGCATACGTGAAAAATTGAAGGACTCCTTGATTTCCTCAAGGAGCCCAAAGTAATGATACACACGAAAATTTCTAATTGTGTGGACAGACATAAGAATGTGAAAACACACTATTACTTGGATCGCATTTTGCAAAAAGGAAACAAGAGCATTCGAATGTCGCTAGGATTGTGCAACTTATAATCTTTGCCAAAAATTCCTAAAATCATGCAAAAACTTGAATTTACAACGGTAATTCTAGTCTTGAATTCATAGTTCATTGGGAGTAAAGATAAAACTGCTTTAGATGATCAGTATATATTTGCAGGCTAAAAAAAGTTGCACAATCTTATAGCAACACTGGAATGCTCTTGCTTCCTTTTTGCAAAACGCAATCCATTTTATAATCGTGAGGAACACCGATGGCATTTGTTTTCTCTGAAGCAATGTTGAAAAAAGAAAGTCACTTCGACACGTCCGTACCTTGGTGATGTCATTGCAGAGGAGCTCGTCGTTGACGAAGACTTGGCCGCGGCGGATGCGGATGCTGTGGTCGTCGCTGTGAGTGGTTCCCCGGAGGATGAGGCCGCGGGGATCCTCCATGCGGATCTCCACGTACCTGCCCGCCTCCAGGTCTAGTTTGGCGAGGTCTTTGACTTTAATCGCGAGCGGGATTATGGAACCATGAACTATGCTTCGGGGTTGGAGACGTGTGCTGTCAGCCTCCTCTTGAGTCGGCATCAGTTTTAAATCATTCACCTCTTGCTGACCGTCGATCATCCATGATTCAGCTCCCACGAAATGCGAAAAGCGGCTCAACTGGAACTAAGGGTAAAATAATGATTTATTAGGGGGGGTAAAGTTACTAATTTAACCAGTAATCACAGATCGCAGGGAATTTTCTACCATTCTGCGGTTCATTTAAATGTTTCCCATTTCTTTCATCAAACACAATAAAGACATACTGGGAAAGTACAGAAATTGCAAAGTGAAACGCAGTCATCAGGCTAATTGAAGAGGGTGGTGGAAGGGGGATCCAAAATCTTGGAGCGCCTTCAATTTTGTATGATACTGTGCAACACCTCTGTTGTGAAATAGTTGCTTGAGGCGCCGTGGCACGCTGCAGCGCGGCAGGCGGCCGGCCGGCTCGAAACGCGCATCGGCGGCTACAAACCTAAGGGGATACTTCAAGCATTGCGCAATGCGTGAAGTATCCCCTTAGGTTTGTAGGCGACAGTGCGCGCGCCGCTCCGGTGCTGTCATACGATCTCGCGATTTAGCCCGAATATAACGATGTGTGACTTAAAAATAAGTTGGTAGTTGAAAGTGAGTAAATAAAGTTTTCGGAATAAACTTAAATTAAAGGACTAAAACAGTAACATGTGAACACTAGTCAAAATTCATTAACATATTTATGTTACAACCATGTTGTAACACATTTATGTTACAACCCAACAAAATATTTCACTATAAAGGAAGGATAAAATAGATCTTGTCGTAAGATCTCAATAAACCTTAAACCTCATGTGTATTGAGAGTCCGAAACCAAAATTATTGAGAGTACGGAAAGAATTTCCGTACAAAAATTTCATAAGGCGATGGTATTATAGTCCTCTCAACACAAGGAGCACCATGAACAGTCTTAGCCACGCCTGATGGCTCTTACCAGATTGTGAATTTCTACTTTGATATAACTTAATTTTTGTTAAAATCCCTTACTATCAATGTAGTCGGTCGAGGCAAAAGTTAAGTCCGGAGGTCAATGCCAATTCTCGCCCGATGATGATCGGTGATCAACTTGTTAATCAAATATTATAATAAAATTCCCCCTGTGATGATTGCTGAAAGTCGGTATGAGCTTTTTGCTGGGTAAGTTTCTGCAAATTAGGTTAGGATTGCTAAACCAATAGCGCAACTCTTTGATCACCAGTCATCATCAGGAGAATCCAAATATTGACTTCTGAAAGTAGCATTTACACTGCAGGGGATATATCATTGGGGAGTATCTACAATATGATGTCGCACTGTAACTTTGTCCCTGAGACCGTAAGTTTTTCGCCAATCGCATCCTAGCACTCAAAAGTGTACAAGTGAGTGAAAGTGTATAACAAGTTTTAAGAACAATAAAAACACATTAAAATAAAAAAACAAATGGGTTGACAAGGCTAAGGAGAAACAAAATAAACCAGAACGTTTCGGATCAATTACATGCCCATCCTCAACTGGTACAAAAACTAAAAAATGTAAAAGTTAAAACAAAAAAATGAGCATGCAACTGACCGAGGTAGGAGTCAGTGCAAACTGAAAAACAGAGCAAAGATGGACAGAGGGGCACTATCACCTCCTTGATAATAGGCTAGCCTCTACACTCACCAAGGATTATTTATAGAGGCTCTTCTCCGCCACAGAAAAACTAGTGATAGGATAAGGAAGTTTTAAGTACTCACCAAAAAGAGAAAACAGACGAAGAGAAAGGGAATGTTGCTTGTGCTTCCGTTTTGCGCCATGGCTCTCTATAGATTGAAGACTGCATTTCCTGTTGGGATAGCTCACTGTTCTTATATGTTCATACCGGTGATTGACGATCGGTACTAGATTTCAGACTAAGGTTTGAGCATGTGGTAAACCCCCCCTCCTCTCTCAGGAAAAAAAGGAAAATTAAAAATCTTTCATCGTAGAATCAGTCACGCAAGCGTAGCTGCGTCAGACGCGGTCGCGACGGGTGTTGAGTAAGACTGGTTGTTGGCGCAAACAGCGCAAAAATAGCGCCGAATGACGCCTGAATTTTTTTTGTCTTCTTTCTCTTTCTCCGCGGTAAGTATACTTAGAGTACATGACAGATATCATTACAAAGTGACAGTTTTATTTTCAAACTTAGCGCATTACCGTAATAAATTATTGCGCCGCGCAAAACGGAATCAACCGACTTCGAATCTCATAATTTCTGTGTCATTTTTCCTATTTAGATGTTAAGTACCGTTCTGCCTTTGCGTAAACTCTTTTGAGCAGGACGGTTCAAGTTCCCCTAATTACTAAATATTTATTTCCGAGCGAGTATTTGTAGGGCCGTTTGTGTAATCATGTTACGGGAGGTAATTGAGATCTTGTTCGCTTAATCTCACGTCTGAAAAATCATATCCTAAATCTCGATTTTTAAGGCTCATAACAGGAGTATTGAAAATGTCTACAGACATTAAGCTCTAATGTATTTTTAAAACATTAAGACTGTTTCTCGAAATTACTAGCACTTTTCCTACTTTTTCTTTGTCTATATTTTGCACTCAAAACATGAATTGATTTCTAATCAATATACTCTCGAAGCTGAGCTGTGTCCCAAGCTCCCTTGAAACTCTAAAACTATATCCTTCAATTAGCCAGTTATGCAACATACTATCCTTCAACTTAAGATAGTCATATACTCTCTGCCTTACACTATAGTAGCGATCACGGTGTAGCAAACGGAACTTGCGTTTTTCCCTTCTCTCTTGAAGCTGTTTTTATTGCATGTGTGTTGAAGATCAGCGTCTTGATTCAGTTCAGTAATTAGACGTATTTCTACCGAACAGACCTATGTGGAGGTGAGAAATATGGGGTGTGCTCTAGAAATCTGTATAAGAAACAATGTAAAAGTGGGCGTGGTTCCTTTTGAAGAATTGGAAAAGCGGGATATTGCATTCTATCAAACAGACCTATGTGCCAACTGAATGCGGAACTCATGAGCCGCGGGCATGGCAAAAGAGCGTTGCGAACAGGGCTCATGAGTTAAAGCGCCCAGACGAAGATCGCGCTCCTCGCTCCCCAGCTCGATCATTGCCGCTGACGTCACTGGCGCTTTATTATTCCCATTCACTCTTACGGCCAGAGAACTAACGAGCATACCCCATATTTCTCACTTACACATAGGTCTGTTTGGTAGAAATACGTCCAATTGTAAGACAATTTGTCGTTCTTATCACGAAAGAATGTAGCTCCATTTCAATGTTGCCAAACTTCCCCTAATTAATGCCATTTTTACCAGAAGAATCTTGAGCATTTCGAACTGAAAATTTCTCTGATTTTTCTTTCGATCTCATGCAAAAACCAGACAAATTTTTAACTAAAAATGCACAGGTTCTCTCTCGTAGAAAATGTAATTATTCAAGTAAATGCAACTTTAAAATGGAGTACCGTTTCTTCGTCTCAGAAACGATTGAGGTCATGATAATCTCCGAAATATTTTCCACGGCATTTTATCAAGTCCAAAGTTTTTATTTCTTGCCGAGGCACGTATCGGCGTAAGTTACTGTCATTAATATTTCGGCACCAGTGGAGCTTCTTTTTTGAGGCACTCGCCGGTTGCCGAAATTTTAAATGCAACGCGGAGTCCAATGTTCTAGCGAGGAGATACCAAGACTTGGGGATCTCAAGGAGGGGAACATAATGGAAGAAAACCAATAGCGCGCTCTGTATGAATATTTATAGTGAGCCCCGAGACCATTCCCACGCGACGGGTGATTAAGCTCCATAATTCAACATTCTCCCTGTAAATTATCTCTACCCGAGCATCATGCGTTTAAATTCTGACTGTGATAAGGATGATGCAAAGATGGCGCACCTCTGAGCTCTGCTTCCCTTTTTGCAGCCTGATCGTTGAAATTTTGTGTTTGTCGGGTAGTCATAGATGACAAGGTTAAAAGGCGGAGCGTGATTGGTCGGCTGTGTCTTATCGCTGATTTATCGTGCCTTTGTCAGGTGGAATGGACGACATACTGTCGGAAACTTAAGAGGTGCTCTCAGCTTGTGGTGAGTTCCATCCGACATAGGCACGACAAAGCAGCGATAAGACATAGCCGACCAACCACACTCCGCTTTTTAACCTGTGTCATCTATGTTAACCCGAGAAACAAAAAAATTCAGCAATCAGGCTGCTGGTTTGATAGTTCACGGAGAAGGTGATTCGAAGGTTGCTATTTTTTATGTCAGAGCGACGTACGATACATCGCATCAATGCGTTCCATAATTTCAGGTAAATGACATTTTTTTCGAATTTCGAAATCGCACTTCAGTCGTCATGAGACTAAAAAATCAATGTACGAACTTTGACAAAGAAATTCAACGTATTAAAGGCAGGATTTTTTCAGAGGAAAAATATCGCATTCGTGTACAGTTTCGATATCAGTATCGAATGCGATATTTTTTCCCATAAAAAAACCCTGCTTTTATTACGTTGAATTTCTTTATCAAATTTGGCACATGCATTCTTTAGTCTCATGATCACAGAAGTGCGATTTCAAAATTCTAAAAAATTACATGTAGCTGAAATTATGGAACGAATGGGCCTGTTGCAAACTTTTGCTAGAGCAAAACTAAGAGTTGTTTCCTACAGATAATGCCTCAAAAATCACGATGAGCGCATCGGCAAAATCTGAAATGCACTCATAACTTCACAATCTGCGTAAGAAATTTGCGGTTTTTTGAGCTTCCCGCTTC